TTTACATCCATTCTGAGAATTGAACTCAGGTCCTCATGCTTGTGTGGCAAATGCTTCACCCACTGAGCCAGCTCCTCAACCCCTCTAATCAGGTTTATGCTAATTTGCATCTGGGGACCGGAGGGAACAGCTGAGGAATCAGACTGGGGCTTGGAGCTCAGCTGGGCTCTTTGCAAGATTTGGGCCAAGTTAAGGAACCTCTCAGCCTCTGTTTCCTCATCTGTCAAATGAAGGCTGATTGTGCCTTGTTCATTGTTAGGAAAAGTCAGTGCAATCACCTGTCAAGTGCTCAAAGAAGGTCTGGTCCAGAGAGCACTCAGCTCTATGAAAAGGAGCCCAGCCTGTACCCTGTGATGCCCCAGCAGGGTGAGAGAGCCAGGCGGAGCAGGAGGAACAGGGCACGTCAGCTCTGACTGTTCTATAGGGTTCTTAGGTGTGGCTAGTGACAGGCAAGCCTGCAGCTGTGCAAGGATTTGGCTAAGACCCAAAGTCAGGGCTGACCTTTGTGTTCCAAGATCGATCATTCTGAGGCATGTGCACCTAGTCAGCCCTTCACTGCTCACTAAGAGGATAGTGGTGGCTTTCTGGTCAGGACCATGCGGTTCTGACAAAAACACAGCCCTCTCCTGAGGCTTTGAGGGCCTCTGTATCACACAGAGACACATGGTAAAACTATCCTGGAACATTACAACATAGAGGTAAACATTCACAGACAAACGTTCGTGTGTGTGAGTGTGTGTGTGTGTGTGTGTGTGTGTGTGTGTGTGTTGTGCCTGCTCTGTGCTCCTCCATGTCGTTTGGTCTTTTCTCTACCCCCGTGAGGTTGGGTAGGGGGACCTTTCTCCATCGCCTGGGTTATGTGTGTATTCCATGTGTATGGTGGCCACTCTGTGCAGGTGATCAATAGCAGGAAAAGATGGGACTCCCTCCCTGCCTGTGGGCTTCTCAACCCACCAAGGATGGGGCGGGATACTGGGGTGGATGAGCACAGATGGCACATGGATTCTATCCACATCATTGGATAGAGTCCCCACACAGTCCCTGGGAGCAACTGAGCCAGGGCTCTGCAGGCAGAGATCACAGCATTGCAAAGGCCCCAAGTCAAGTGTGATCCTGCTGCACTTGGGAGCCTGGGAGGACTTCTAAGCACAGAGGGCTGAACGTGGCTGGCGAGGCTGTACTAGAGAGAGGGTTAGGGGGCAATGGGGGGTAAAATCTTTACATGAAGGCTCTAGTGAAGAGCCCTGGGTGGGTGCAGCACCAAGGGAGCAGCTGGTCCCATCCCCTTCCTTCCATCCTCTCTGAATATAGTTGAAGGGCTGGGAGTCTCAGACCCCAGACAAGCATGCCGAGTGCCGAGAGTATTCATAGGCCACTGCCGCTGGGAGTTTTCAGAAAGGTTTAGTCAAATTTGCTCATAGCAAAAATGAAGTTGCAAAAGATGGGCTAAGCCAGAGAGGGGTGTGAGTCATTACCAAGTCCATAAAGAGCTCTTTGAAATGACCCCACAGCCCGCTCTGCCCTTAGGCAGGGACTGGTGTGCCCTGACCATCCCTTCATGCCTGCCTGGCTGTGTGAGTATTTGACAATGAAGGGTGAGCAAGTAATTCTAGTGGGTGAAAGAGAGGAAGGAGAGGAAGGGAATGAGGGAGGGAAGGAAGGGAAGAAGGAAGGGAACAGAGTGAGAAGAGAGGGAGGAAAGGGAGAGATGGAGAGGTATAAAGATGTGGGTAGGTGGATGGAGGAACCTGTGGACACTAGTGCAGATGAACGGAAGCATGAGACGTATAAAATTTATAGATTCAGGGGCTGGAGAGATGGCTCAGTGATTAAGAGCACTGGCTGCCCTTGCAGAGGACCTGGGTTCGGTTCCCAGCACCCACATGATGGCTAACAACTGTCTGTAACTCCAGCCCTAAGGGATCCGGCGTCCTCTTCTGGTCTCTGTGGGCACTACATGCACAGGTGCACTTCCACACATGCAGGCAAAACATCCATATACATAAAAATCAAAAAAAAAATTTTTAAAGATTTACAGATCTGATGGCATCACATAACATAATACCAAGTGGATAGATGTTCTAGTCTGCATCTCTGTTGTTGTGATAAAATACTTACCAAAACCAACAATGGGGAGGAAAGGGTTTATTTGGCTTACAGCTCAGTCTGCCATCTGGGGAAGCCACGGTAGAAATTGAGGCAGGAACCGAAGCAGAGACCGTGGAAGAGCGCTGCTCGCTGGCTGGCTCAACCATTTTTCTTTTTTTATTATTTTTTTTTAATTTTATGTGTATTGTGCATGCATATAAGTGCACAATGTTGTGCAATGCTCACAGAAGTAAGAAGAGGATGTCGGGTCCCCTAGAACTGAAGTTACAGACAGTTGTTAGCCATGACATGTGTGGGTGCTGGGAACCAAACCCGGATCTTCTGCAAGAGCAGCCAGGGCTCTTAACCGCTGAGCCATCTCGCCAACCCTTCACCCACTTTTCTTATACAGCACAGGCCTACCTGCTCAGGGATGGCATGTGAGCTGGACCCTCCTGCATCAACCAGCAATCAAAAAAACACCCCACAGACAGGCTGGCAAGTGAATCTGAAGGAGAAAATCCCTCAGTTGCTGAGCCCTCTTCCAAGGTGTGTCAAGTTTGCATCAAGTTGACAACAGCTAAGCAGTACTCTGGATGAAAGGTAGAACGTCTGTGACTGAAACCCCAAGAAGAGAAGGCTGCTGGCCAACACTGCACTGGGGTTTGCACCCACAACAGGGCAACAGCAAGCTGGTCCTGTAAGGGTAGCTTCTGAGTGGCACGTGGGTGGCGTTAGCTGAGTCTCCCACACTCCCTGGAGACTGGCTACTGTGAATGCTCTCAGGAGTTCTAAGATAGAGGACTCTCCATAGCTGTGAGTACCTGGCCCCACGGTGATGAGGGCAGGTGTACCCTGGCCAGAGTGGGACTCCGGTAAGGGAAATGACTGGAATGTGACCAGAGCCAGCTGCTCCAGACCCACTGGCCTTCAGCCAGGACCACAGAACTAGACAAGATAGTGGGGCTTTCTGCTGCTGTTTTGTTCCCTTTTTGGAGATGGTGTGTTGCTATGTAGAGTGAGGCTGGCCTCCAACTCAAGAGCCTGATGTCTCGACCCTGAGGGCTGACATTATAGGCTTGGGTCAGCATGCCCAATTTCTCTGTCTGCTCTGCCAACCTCATGGATAGACCCCCCTCCCTCATGACCCCTTCAGAGCTGTGGTGGTGATGCTGATCCTCCTGGCAGGAGAGAGTATGTATACAGCATCTACATCCAGCTTGAGCTAGCTCACAGGCTCAATGGCCCAGGTAGACCAGAGACCCCGGGGTGGGGAGCTCACTGTGAGAGGGACAGCCCAGAGGTGCAGAGGAGGCATCGGGGTCAGGAAAGCCTCAACTCAGGTTCACAGCCAGTCCACAGCCAAGCCAGGGCTAGATCCCAGGCGGTTCCACAATCTCTCTGAAACTCAGTTTCCCCCATCCTTATGTTGACACTGTTAAATTTGATCATTGATGTGGGAACTTGATTGGGAGATGTTCTAGGACAGGGAGGCAGCAGCTGGGACTCTGTGTGGATTCCCAGATCCTCAGGCTCACTCTTGGCTGGCCTCCTTCTGAAAGGATGGTTTTAAGACTTTGAAAACCCTACCTTAAAAAGACAAAAGTCTGGAGATCCTAACAGACAGCCTGAGAGGGTGGGCTCCAACCTCCACTGGTATAGCAGCTGTGATCTCAGCACACCGCCAGAGAGTGCCGAGTTCTGGCCTCCCTCTGGCATAGGGGCTGAAAACACAGGGAGCGGACTGCCTGAGAGCATCAGGACCCTTCCTCCACGCGGTGCTATCAAAATACCTGAAAGCAAATCCTGAATCCATCGCTCTTGAGTCCAGCCTTGGCAGACAAAAGAAAAATGAGGAGGAACCCAATAGAGGGATGCTTTTGGATGCTCTTGTCAAGAAATCCCAATGGACTCTGATATGAACATTTGAAATTTGCCCTGTTCTGATCTTTTTCTGGTTCTCTGTCCAGAACTTGTAATGCTAACTGCTCTTGCCTTTCCTTCTCCTTCACATCCCCTATTCACCAGTCAAGGACCTTCTTTTCTCCCTACAGATAAGAGTTATGCACTTTGGGAGTCTTTTAGGTAGACCCACTGAAGGGGTACCCCAATTGCCTCACCAGGCATCCCTGTTCAGCATGGGGGAAGCCAGAGCGGTCTGCATCCTGATTCCCTAACAGCAATTTGGGTAACTTCTTCAGAGGATGGTGTGATAAGAATAGGAGGTAGGAATTGGCTAGACAGTTACGATAAAAAGACCCCAAAGAAAAGTAGTCAGTTTCTTGGCTAAAAGTCAAATGTCCTTGGGCCTCTTAGCAACATACTCTGTTCCAAAGGCCAAAAATGACAAAAGCATTTGGGAGCTCTTATCTAATCCCTAAAAGAGTTTAGGGTTACCTCTTCAGAGGGGTAATGTTATAGTAGCAAAAAGCCCCATTTAAAAGAAAGGAAAGAAAGAAAGGTGGAAAGAAAGAAGAAGGGAAGAAAGAAGAAAGAAAAGAAAGAAAGAAAGAAAGAAAGAAAGAAAGAAAGAAAGAGGCAGGGGGATCTCCGTTCCAGAGTACCAGGCCAGCTGGGGGTTACAGGCAGATTCTGTCGAGAGAGAGAGAGAGAGAAGAAAGGAAGGAAGGAAGGAAGGAAGGAAGGAAGGAAGGAAGGAAGGAAAGGAGAGAGAAGAAAGAAAGAAAGAAAGAAAGAAAGAAAGAAAGAAAGAAAGAAAGAAAGAAAGAAAGAAAGAAAAGAAAGAAGGAAAGAAAAAGTACACGAAGTTATCAGAGAAAAGTGGTGGGGAGATATGGGAGGAGTTGAAGGGGAGGGAGTGGGCGTGGATTTGATCAGAACACCTTATATGCATGTATGAAATTCTCAATAAAGTTTCTTTTTAAAAGTTAAAAAAAAGACAAAAGACTGTGTTTGGAAAAGGTGCTAACACCAAATTTATACAAGATAAAACTTTAATTTCTCCTCAAAAAAAGACTGAAACACGGATCTCACCCCTGGGCTTCCAGGTCCTCCAGTCTGGCGAATGGAGCATCGTGGGTCATTAGCAGATCTTCAAAGGAAATGAAGACAGTGTGGAAGTGAAGGAAATTGCTTTTAAATGTCCCCGAAGGAATTCATCGTCCGGCAAGAGCCTACACACAGCTCACCAGAGAACCTGACATGCAGTGTGTCCCTCTCTGGGACGTAGCCTGGCTTCTGCCACGGCATCCGTGGGAGGTGTACAGGGCATAAAAAGTGCCTTAAGAACTCCCCCTCCCAACTGGCTGCCTTCTCTTTCTACCCTTTATGTAAATGTCCACTGTTTATACCTGAAACTGCAGACGAAACAACCACCACCCTGGGAAAGAGAACAACGGTCAGCAGTATCACGTCAGGCACTTTGTGTTCATGTGGTCCTTCCCAGGGTTCTCTGTAGCTTTGGGGAACCTTTGCCACTCCAAGTTCTCCCGGTCAGCGATCTACACAGAAGCACCATCACCGCCAGAGGCTGCAGCTGATCCAGGGGCAGAGAACTAGGCTAGAGGTGGAGGGAGGAGGTGCCCAGGAGGGTGATGACATCACCGGCCAGCCCTTGAAAGATGAGCTGTTCCCCTGCCACTCCAGCTCAGCTCCTCAGAGGGGTGGGACGTGGGGACGGAAGCTGGACTGAGGGACCTGGCACTGCCGCAAGGCACCGCATGCTCCAGGCAAGGTGGGTACCAAACGGCAGCTGGTCCACAGAGAGGACAAATGTCCCAGCACAGGGAGTTTGGGTAGCTGGGGCCGAGTCTCAGGCTCCCTGGGCTTCTCTGGTCCTGTGGAGTTCCTCCCGTAAGACTAACAGAGGCTGGGGGAATTTTGCCTTCTGATTCCAGCTCTGTCTTTTCCCTGGCTACTGAGTGAACGATCGGTGATTTGAGTTTTGTAGATTCTGAGTGAACACCATGGGCCAAAGCAGGGAAGAGTGAGCGTTGGGCAGCAGCAACAGTCGTGGGGTGTACACTCCAGATGTGGCTTTTCATTCACTGTGGCACTGGTGGTCCTGTGTGACCCCAGACAGGCTCTTCGACATGTCTGAGTTTTGTTTCTGTCTGCAAGGTAGACTGCTTGACTGCTCCTCAGAAAATACGGGGTCGATGGTGCCAGTGGTGACACCTTTATTCCACAAAGGTTTTGTGTCACCTCTGTTCTGGTCCTTCTTCAAGGTGTTGTTTCTGTGTGGACTCTATGTGCTGTCGTAGGTTTGAGTCCCAGCCCTGCTCTTACCCCAGGGGTGACTTTGTTGGTAGTTTTATATCCCAGGTCCTGGGCCACAGACGACTTAGCAGCATCTTTTAATGCAAAGTGCCACATGTACAGTCTGTGTTACTAAGGTTGCTTGAGTGGTAACTCTGGCCTGGGTGGGGTGGTGGCCGCGATGCTCCTGGGGCAGGTTAGAATGTGCCTCCCTGAGTCACGGGTTGCTTGTGGCTCCCTATGCCAGTGTGCAGGAAGCAGGAGTTCTGGCTGGGTGTGGGTGTGGTGCCATGGGGGCTGTGGTGCCAGCCACAATTCGTGTTCCTGTTCTGTGGGAAAGATGTTCAGGGCACCTGACACAGGGTGATGGACCCCACATAACCCGGCCCCCACCCCTTCTGCTCTGTATACTGGCAGCAGTATGGGTGATGGGAACACCCCATAATTCGAGAAAGCCCCAGGAGCTTAGAGAGAGTTTACTGCCCCCTGCCCCACGCCACTTGGGGTGGGCGCAGGGGACAGGCAGGATAGAAAATATTGCAAATGAGAAGCTACATGTTCTGACCTTGCAGGGGGAACCCCAGGATCTCATGCCAGCTCTACTTGAACTTCCTTTACTGCAATTCAATATGTCCCGAAAGCCATTGCAATTACGCCCTTCAAGGCTCCCAGCACAGATGGGGAAACTGAGTCTGGAGGGCAACAACCTTAACAAAGTCCTTTGCACCATTGTCCAGGGAATCCCACAACATCTGTGGGACTTGGCCTGTGTCGTCTTTAAGGAGGGGAAGGATGGAACGACTGGATAGGATGAGCCTGCATGGTGACTCTGCAGATGCTGGGTTACAGGGAATCCAGCAGATGCCCAACCAAAGGGACCCAGCAGAGCTGGGTCATGTGACCTCTGCTAATGTAGTAACTGGTGGGATAAAAAGCTCAGGGGTGTCTGGGTGATGTTGGGGCTGCCCCCCCTCTGCCGTGCAGCTGTTGTCAAGAAAGGGTCCACAGAAGAGCCCTGTAGATGACCAAAGAACCTGGATTTCCAAAACAAAAGTAAGGAACTGTCTCTGTACCCACTTGTGGCTGCCCACTATGTGTGGAAACTGGGCTGCCACTCAGTGTTTGCTGAATGAATAAAAGGATGGATGAATGAAGGAGTGAGTGCTGGTGGGCAGCAGGCACTGGGCACACAGCTGATAACAGAAAGAAGCCAGTCTGAAAAGGGGACACTGTGATTCCTCTGGGTGACATTCTGGAGACAGGAGAGAGCTCAGAGATTGCCAGGCAGGGTCACGCAGAAGGAGGAAGTCCCAGAGTGCAGGGAACTTGCAGAACCAGGAGGGGACCCTAATATGACTACAGGCTCCGGATGACAGTCACGTGTCTGTGTAGATTCAGTTGCAGCCAATGCACACGTGACAGGAACATTGGTAACTGGGAAGGTGATCCGTGGGGGAGGGATTAGATGAGAACCCTTTGTGTTCCTCCTTCAATTTTGCTGTGAACCTGCAACTGCTCTTAAGAAAAGCTCATGGAGTAGGTAGTCTGTGTATTGCTCTAAGAATTCAAAGTCATGAATTAAAGGATCAGAACCCACTGAGAGTCCAGACCTTGAATGACTACTTCCAACATGTGCTCCTCCATCAGTCCACCTGGGAAGCCTTAACCCATAAGTAGCTATTGTAGTGAACATTCTTCCTGGATCAGAGAGCCGGCTGTGCCACTTGGCCTAGTCCACAGCCAGCAATCCTATCCTTAGGTGGAAGTAACCTGCCTGCCTCAGAGCCATATCTCCATTTACTACTAGGAAGGTCTAGCCAGTCAACTCTCCTAGGCTGGATGTCCACAGTCCTTCATCTGCCCTCTGTGAAAAGGATTAGAAGGCAAGCCTTTCTGGTTTTCCTGGAGGGAACACCAAAAACATACCCAGGGCTGCTTTCCAGAGCAAACCTGAAAGCCTGTCTTTCTCTGATTCTGTCCCCAAAGTGGGGCGGGGGAGGTCTCTGAAACTCTGGGGCCTGGAAAAATGTGGAGCCTGTCTCCCCCCCCAAACTGTCACAGGTTTATCCCACAGTGAAGCGGAATAAATGTGGCTTTGGGTCCAAATCCCGATGGTGTCACTTACTAATGGGAAGGCTCTGTCAGTCTGGGTTGGCTCACCTATCCCATGGGGGCAGTTTTCCCTATCTTAGAGGATCCCTGTGAAGCTCTTCAGAGTACAGGCTAGAGGGACACATGCCCCCAGGATGCCCCTCTCCCTCCCTTTCTCCTCCTCTCTCCCTCTCCACTCTTCCCCCACTTCTTTCCCCTTCTCCTCTCCTCTCCCCTCCTTTCTCCTAAAGTTGGGCTGAGACTGACTCCCCCTGCCCCAAATGCCCTCTGCCTCCACCTTCACTCCCAGCCTAGGGCAAGGAATTCGGCTCGTTGAGCCTTAGTTCCTTCGGCTATAAGCAGTAATTGAATCAGAAACTACCAAAAAATTCAAATTGGAAACACCCTGAGAGTCTGGTGTGTGAGGGGGACAGTCCCACTTCAACCCCAGTGCTGTTGCAAGGCTGATCAAAAACAAGGTGAGGGAAAGACATGCCGTAAAGGCCAGCAAAGCTCAGCCAGAAAGGAGTGGCTGTGGATTCCCAGCACAGGAAGGAGTGGCAGCATCCTACAGGGAATTACAAAGTCCACCAGGAGTGTGAGCGTTCAAAACAGAGAGATGGGTGATGTTGCCCTGATTTGATTCGATTCGTATGATAAGGTGCACAAGCCTCTGCCCATAAAAGCCCAGGAGACAGCTGAAGAGAGGACACAGAGAGACGGGATGACAGGGCTGGATGGCGTCAGGAGCGAGGCGCTTACTTGGTTCTCTTTCATAGCCTTTGAAACTTTATCATGAGCATGCAGGGCCCTTTGCAGAAATTTCGATGTAAAAATCAAAGTAAATGGGAATAGAAATAAGAAACAAGCTCTACCTGGAGTCCCAACACTCACAAGACTGAGGTAGGAGGATTGCCTTGACCATGAGGCCAGCCCGGGCTACCTTGTGAGTTCTATACCAGAAGCCTGGGTGCAGAAAGGAGGGGATGGGGAATTTGTGTGCCTGTAGTGGTACCCACAAGCCAGCTTAATAGAGCGGCAATAAGATCAAGGGTGGGACCCAAGGGTGGCAGGACAAACAGGCCTGGATCTTTAGAGTTGTCCTGGGACTATGTAAGGAGAGGTAATTGCTGAGCACCTGCTGTCTGGTGCCTGGCTTGGGTTGAGCCCTGCAGCTGGCAGAGTGATGTTGAAAGAAGCTCTGCTCAAGCAGAGGTCCTGAGGAGGAATTTGTTTTCCTGGGGGGGGAAATTACTTGATTAAGTATTCCAGCCAGCTAGGAAATTAGTCATTAAGTAATTGAAGAGAGGGAAAGGCATTATAGAAAAGATGCTTGTGATCAGGGGAGTACTCCAGTTAGAGTCTAAGCCTATGGCCAAGAAGCCACTTGGAATATGATCATGGAGCTTAATTACTGCTCAGAACAGTTGCTTAGAAAAGATAAACAATTTGTAACCATCAGGGACTTAAATCTCATGTTATTTCAACTAAAGCTGAGGTTGGGAGGAGTGTGCTATAAGTTTTCATCTTATCATTTTCTGTGTGTGTGTGTGTGTGTGTGTGTGTGTGTGTGTGTGTGTGTGGTGTACGAATGTGTTCCTTCGGGCATGCTCACCATACAAGCACCTGTGAAGACCAGAAGTGGACGTTCAGTGTCTTCATCAGTCTCCATCCTGTTTTCTGAGGCAGTCTCTCGCTGAACCTGGCGCTCACCAATCAACTAGACTGGCTGGCCAGTGAGCCCTGGGGATCCTCCTGTCTACTTCCTCAGCACTAGGATTACAGGCACATGCCAAGCTTGTGTGTGTGTGTGTGTGTGTGTGTGTGTGTGAGAGAGAGAGAGAGAGAGAGAGAGAGAGAGAGAGCGCGCTCAGGTGTGCTTGCCTGTACATGTATACCTGGAGGCCAGAGGTCAGCATCAGGCATCTTCCTCTATTGCTGTCCACCTAATTTTTTGAGACGTGAGCTCTTACTAAACCTGGAGCTCCCATCTTGGCTAACCAAGCTGGTCTATCTCCATCTTCCAGCACTGAGATTACAGATGTGTGCCTTCCTGCCCAGCTTTATTTACATGGGTGTTGGGGAATCTGAACTCAGGTCTTCATGGAAGTGTGGCAAGCACTTTATCCATTTCCTCAAGCTTAGTTTTTATAATTTCTGGAAGGGGACTTGTTACTTTTCTACTGTTGGTGCTACTATGGGTTCTCAAGTTGGTCACTGATTTAAACACAGCTACTAGAGGAGTGGAACTGACCTCTGTGGTGCTCTACCCACATTTATAGAACTTTGTTCCAGGTTGCACAGAAAATCTCAGTAAACAGAGGTTAATACTGACAGACAGGCTTGTGTGTAAAGCTCTGACAGGCTGTGTATCATCAGCCTATA